CTGTCCACTTTTAAGGTAAGCTAAGTATATATTGCTACAGAGACGTTTGTTTTATTATATTTTTCTAAGTTCACCTGTTTATTTAGGCCTTAATTCTTTACAAAATAAATAAAGGGTGTCACCCCCCCCCCCCCCCAGTGACCTTTGATTTTTTTTCATGTTGTTCAGGTAGAACTCCACCTCTCAAGGGTTACCTACCCCTACTCCAAGGTATTCAAAAGAATTGGAGAGGTATGTCAAAATGTGGACAGTTTCTCCAGAATCTTTTGAATTACCCCTCAATATGTAAGTAAAAATCTGATATAACTCTTCAGGCTCTTGGAGTATCTTGATGTGTGGTGGGGGTATATTGGTGGTCAGTGAAGTTGTGGGTAGTAGTTTAGGGCCCCATGTCAAGTTTTGCATCAGCGCCCACACGCTTCAAGCTATGACTCTGGAAAGGAACTAGGTTTAATGTCTTTAGTTCCACTGAAGAGATCGGTAAGCTGCAATATATAACATTTTTATCTTTTCTTATTTATTACCACTTTATCGTTCCATTTTGACTTTATCTTTAGCTCAAGGTGGAACTAAACCCACCATCTTTTTGCATCCAGAGATGGTGCATTTTAGTCTCTATTTAGACCTGTAGATGCTATAGTGATGCACACTTGACTACCTATAAGACTAGCCATTTGAGGGCTTGAAATATTGGTTGACAACTGACACAAGCAAACACTGGCAACGATGAAAGTTTTCCAGAAGCATAACATAAATATAGCGTACACTGTGCATGTGCCTATAGGCAGAATGTAAATGAAGACACTGCAGAAAACAACACTGGTATGTTGGATTTAAGATTTAGGGCCTGATTACACATAAATGGACAGCTGCTGCACAGTAACCCAAAGCAACTTATTGTGCGACAGCTGTCCATTCTGGCTGCAGTTAGCTGGCGGTAGGGGGAAGTGGTGTAATTCAGGGCATCACATAGATCCCTTTTGTTTTTTCTTTTTTTTTTTCCAAGGAACTTTTTTTGAAGTGCACAATGGTGATACTTCATTCATGTCACTGTACTGCACAGATCACTGCAACACAGCTCCAGGCTGCATTTCAGTGTGACCAGGACACACATAAAACAATTGTTTTTTGAACTCCAGTGCTGAACAACGGTGGTCACTGCACTGTGTGAACTGGCCTTAAAGCGGACTTCCAGTCAGTTTTATGTTTATTAAAAATCAGCAGCTACAAAAACTGTAGCTGCTGACTTTTAGTAAATACACACTCACCGTTCCAGTTGTTCCAGTGATGTACTCACCTCTCGCGGTCCCTTCTCTCCTCTCTCCAAGGCATGGCATCACAACTGTGGGCACCATGCTCTGACAGCTTGCAGCTTCACAGCCAGGTGCCTGCTGTGCATGCACGAGTCGCACTGCGCAAAAATCTGATTGGTCCGGCAGTCTTCTGGACCTGTGAAGGTTCCCACAAGACGGTAGCAGGAAGGAGGGGTAGAACTTCCCCATGTCAAGTTTGCCATAGCGAACTGAGCCAGAAGCTGGGAGCGGGTACCTGTCAAAAACAGGTTTATCCGCTCTCCCCGCCCCCCCCCCAAAAGGTGCCAAATATGGCAGTGGAGGGCGGTAGAAGGCAAGCAAGTGGAACTTCCACTTTAAATAACACTTTATGTTCCATTTTTAACTTGAGCTTTCTTTTGATAACAGTTTAATGGATGGTATCCACTATGGTGCTTTCTTGGAGTCTGGCTATTTGGATGTTTTTGCTTTGAGAAATACTTGAAAAATAAGATAGCCATTTGAACGGTTGAAATCAACATGGCAACTGACATATTACACTGTTCAACAGGTAAAAAAGTTTTTGGGCAAAATTAGCTAATCTTAACATAAATTTAGGGTGCTGAAAACGAAAATGACCCTAAAAAATGTTGATTGGCTCTAGTTTCCATGATATATTCAACATCTAATGATGTAAGCCATTCAAATTTATGGGCAACTTTTACATATTGCGCAATTGATACTGCTGCACAATAGAAAAGCATGTATACTGATTGATGCAATATTAGCCTTTTGCTGCACTTCACTGGGAAAAGCTGCAGTATCTTAGGGACACATAGATCGACAGCGTTTTTACATTTTTCTTTTTGCTTATATAGGCTACTCAGTAATGCCTTTGTGTGCACAAAAAGCAGACAATTTTCTGTATATGTGCGGTGAAATAACTTTTATCTCACAGCTCCAGGAGGTGTGACAGGAATGATTAACAAAGCCTACAATTGTTTTTTGGCTGCAGTGATGGAACAACGGTGGACAAGAGCTGGTGAACCACCTTATATGCTGGGACTTCTTGTGGGACGGCACTGGAGCAATGGTTAATAAAAATCAGCAGCTACAAAAACTGCATCTATGACTTTTGCTGTGCCAATGATTTGGAGAGAGTCCAACAGATCATGTTAGTAATTATTACTGGTCCCTTTGTATGGTGCCTGGCAATTGTAAAAGGGCTAAATCAGAAGAAAAAGTTATCTGTGTACTATCCAGGCTCTGACAGCTTCATCTTCAATACATCCAGGTGCCTGCATGCAGAGGGGAGTTGCACGCATTCCTAAAGCAATTGGTCCGGCAGTCTTCTGGGACCTTGAAGGTTCCACAGGAAGAACCTGAAGCGTGTAGTCACGTGCAGTTGGGTCGAACTTCCGCCACTTTGCCATCGAATACAAGAAAAAGCCAAGAGAAGCAAAACGGGTACACAAAAAACAAAACTAGGTAATCCTAAGCTTTAAAATGATTCAACTTAAAGGTGCTTATGGCTATAAGGGCTTGGTAATCCTATGCAATAAGTTATGCCATTTAGGCTTTGTTATGTAGTCAATATCACTTGCTTTAATTTGTGGAACAGACATGTTGAAATTTTTTACTTGAGCTTTCTTTTGATAACAGTTTAATGGATGGTATCAGTTTTTCTTGGAGTCTGGCCTTTGACAAATTTCATGTTTTTTTCTCAGAAATACTGAAAAACATTAAGATTCAAGGATCCTTTTTTTCCAACATGGCAAAAAATAAAAATTTGTTGACAGCCTCTTCCCATCCAGACAGTCCACAATTGGACAGTTTCTCTCTAACGTACTGCATTCTCTCTCCACCAGAAGAGTCTTGCAACCAGGGGTGGACTGACAACTCATGGGGCCCCCGGGCAATAGGGGATAATGGGGCCCCTGTGTCCTTGCCCACACTCAAAAAAGCCTATAAAAAAAGGTACTAGGGGCATTTCATGGGGCCCCCTACTGACCCCAGGCCCTCGGGCAGTGCCCGAGTGCTCGAATGGTCAGTTCGCCCCTGCTTGCAACAGAACAGTTTCCCTCTAACATTGCATTGCAGTCTATCATACCACGGTCTCTCTCTTCATCAGGACAGCCTCACAATGACAGTTTCCCCTAATAAGACAGTCTGTTATACTGCAGTGTATACTGCTTTAGTTATCACTCAGTCCTTTCAGCTACAATGTTTCAAGAACATCTCAAACTTGTTGCAATTCATTATTTATATAATTTCAAATGACCAATTGAATGGTTCTTCAAGTGAGGACTGTTCTGTGTTTGGTATGAAACATAAAAAAATCAGGAGTCAATTGCAGGGTGCAGCTTGCTTTGATATCCCCCATTAATAATCTATTAAATGAGTTGCTCAGTCTAACATATTTTTTAACTCAATAGGCACGTTGGCCCTCCATTTAACTGGGAAATATTTAGACTGGAGCTAGCCTCACTTTAATTGGTTAATACACCAACAAAAACACATATCATTGGCTGATTAATTACTGCAGTCCAAACCTATTGTTGTTGGGTTGACAATGTTGTCACTACCAAGGTGGGAGGCTTTGGTGTTAAAATTCTAAATGTTAACATTGGTGGATTTTTTAAAATTTTTTTATGAATTATTGTTCACAATAAAGTTTTGTATATTTTACGTAAGTTATGCTGCGTGAATAAAACTCAATACCTACTTTCCTAGTTTGTCTTTATCACTGGTTCTATTATTATTAGTATCTTTCAGATATTTATATACATGCCATGGAGTTTATTTACTAAAGCTGGAGAGTGTAAAATTAGGTTCACTTCTGAAAATAAATCAGTTTCCAGGTTTTATTAACTGAACAAGGTGAAGTTAGAAGCTGATTGGTTACCATGCAAAGCTGCACCAGGTTCTGAGTTCACTAATTTTAGTAAATCTACTTTCATATTAGCCACTTGCCCTACGGACGATTTACCCCCCTTGTTACTTTAACTGACAATTGCGTGGTCATTCAACACTGTACCCATATAAAATTTATGTTATTTTTTCGCACAAATAGAGCTTTATTTGGTGGTACTTGATCACAACAGCGGTTTTTATTTATTGCGCTATAAATAAAAAATACAGACAATTAAAAAAAAAAAAAAAATATATATATATATATATATATATATACACACACACACATACACATATACCGTATTTTTCGCCGTATAAGACGCACTTTTTCTTCCCCAAAACTGGGGGGGAAATGTCAGTGTGTCTTATGGGGCGAATATGGAGCGGCCGGTCCGGTATTTTCACCGCGGCCGTGTCAGAATACCGGGCCGGCCGCTCAGCTCTGCAGCGGGACCTTACCTGTTCCTCTATCCAGCGGCACGCTGTCTTCCGGCTTCTGTGTGTGGGCACTGGGCATGACAGGCCGGGTCAAGTGCGCATGCGCAAGAAGCGGTGCTTTTTGTGACAGGTAAGCGGTACCTGGGAACATGACAGATCCCAGAAGCCGCCGGACCAATCGAAAGCGCAACAGTGTTCTCGATCATGCGCACTGGGCACCCGGCTGTCATGCCGAAGTGCCATTACAGAAGCGGGTACAGCACGCGGCTGGATCGAGGAACAGGTAAGATCAAACAAAAACTCTGCGGAAGTAAGAGCGGGTACCTGTCAAATTCAGGTACCCGCTCCCACCTCCCCAAAGGTCAGCAGTCATCTGTACTGTCCGCAGTCTCTGGTCATCCCTGTGCTGTCCGCAGTCTCTGGTCATCCCTGTGCTGTCCGCAGTCTCTGGTCATCCCTGTGCTGTCCGCAGTCTCTGGTCATCCCTGTGCTGTCCACAGTCTCTGGTCATCCCTGTGCTGTCCGCAGTCTCTGGTCATCCCTGTGCTGTCCGCAGTCTCTGGTCATCCCTGTGCTGTCCGCAGTCTCTGGTCATCCCTGTGCTGTCCACAGTCTCTGGTCATCCCTGTACTGTCCGCAGTCTCTGGTCATCTCCTGTGCTGTCCACAGTCTCTGGTCATCCCTGTGCTGTCCGCAGTCTCTGGTCATCCCTGTGCTGTCCACAGTCTCTGGTCATCTCCTGTACTGTGTCCGCAGTCTCTGGTCATCTCCTGTACTGTGTCCGCAGTCTCTGGTCATCTCCTGTACTGTCCGCAGTCTCTGGTCATCTCCTGTACTGTCCGCAGTCTCTGGTCATCTCCTGTACTGTCCGCAGTCTCTGGTCATCTCCTGTACTGTCCGCAGTCTCTGGTCATCTCCTGTGCTGTCCGCAGTCTCTGGTCATCCCTGTGCTGTCCGCAGTCTCTGGTCATCCCTGTGCTGTCCGCAGTCTCTGGTCATCCCTGTGCTGTCCGCAGTCTCTGGTCATCCCTGTGCTGTCCGCAGTCTCTGGTCATCCCTGTGCTGTCCGCAGTCTCTGGTCATCCCCTGTGCTGTCCGCAGTCTCTGGTCATCCCTGTGCTGTCCGCAGTCTCTGGTCATCCCTGTACTGTCCGCAGTCTCTGGTCATCTCCTGTACTGTGTCCGCAGTCTCTGGTCATCTCCTGTACTGTCCGCAGTCTCTGGTCATCTCCTGTACTGTCCGCAGTCTCTGGTCATTTCATGTACTGTGTCCGCAGTCTCTGGTCATCCCTGTACTGTGTCCGCAGTCTCTGGTCATCTCCTGTACTATGTCTGCAGTCCATTAGTTCAGAATTTTTTTTTTCCTGTTTTCTGCCTTTAAAACCTAGGTTTTTTTTTTTTAAATGCATTAATGCACCTGCATACATTTTTTGCCTTTTTAAACCTTTACCTTAGAGGAATTAGGCACACTTTATTAAAGTCTGAATAGCTGCAAAGTGAAACAACACTGTACTGTCTAATTACTAAAATATGTGGGCAAAGTGTACACTAGCCTATCACTAGTGTACTTAAATCTGTTGGTTACCATGGCTGGTATGATGCTTTGATAGTAACTATGTTACAGCTATTTACAGCATGACGTCTTTGACCAACCTTTATTTACTAGTCTAAAACCTTCACACTCCCACACCACATGGGAAAGAGACAAACACCTTTTTGATTTATGACTATATCTTGGACTATTGTGTTGCACAAAATCACTTCTTATCCATAGAACAGATGCAATTTAAATATACACATGAAAGAACATGCTTGGTTGTTGGTGACATTCCTTGTTCAGTTTAGTGTCTCCAAATGGTCTGAAATTTTAATTCGCTCCAACTCCATAACATTAAAGTGAAATTCTGGGGTCTATCTAACTAATCTTTTCTATCTACTTTTGTGGAGTTGGGTGATGCCAACAAGGCACCCGCAGCAAAAATCAGATTAAATTTATTTAGATTAACAAAGTTCTGTAATAAAAAGATGGGTTTCAATGCTCACAGAAAAACTTTGTGTGTTGTATGTGAGTGCAGGGGAAGATATATAAACAGATGCCTCTTAACTTTATAAATATATATATATTTATATGCCATATATAGCCGGTAAACACCACTAAAATGCAGTACAGGTGCATTCCAGATGCATTCCTGCATGCAAGTTTTTGATACGTTCCAGTGCGTTTTTTTCCCCCTCTTGTTTTTTTTTCAAAGTATCCTGTTTTGCATTCTGTTGCATTTTTTATGTTTTTTTTAATTCTATTATTAGTTTGTTTTCTGTTTTTATTTTTTTTTAAGATTACTATATTGGTTTGCACACATTTTCTTCTTTAGGTATATTGTCCCATATTGGGCTGTCTTTCACATCTCAATCCTAATTTTTATCAGAACAAAATGTTATTGATCGTTTGATTGGACCAATTTTTGATTGCAGCTGATTGGAGCTTTTTCACGCCACCCTAGCTGTATTTAATCTGGGCTAATGAGCTCATTTCTTTGCTCACAGCCATCAAGCATGCTTCCTTGGACAGACCTGGTGGGTTTATCATACATGCCGCTTAATTTTTGCAAGCACTTTTTCTTTTTTTATTTATATTTATGCATTCATTTATTTATTTACCTAAAAATATAAATATATTTTTTTTTTTTTGTTTCTTGCAACACATGGGTAGTAAGGGTTTTTACCTCACATGGAATCATGTAAGTGTATAACTATATTGTAAAGTATCAAATTGTTTACAATAATCTGATTGCGTCATGTATGTATGTTTGTTATAGACGTCATGCCTTCTTGAGCACTTCTGAAGAAAAGATTTTTATTGATCTTGAAATGTGTCAAGTGCGAACCATGCATGATCCATGATTAGATTTGCAATACCCTCTCTGATGACACCGCTGCAATATGTATTGTAGCTTTATATTTTTGAAGATTGTAAAAATAAATAAAATTTCATACTATTTATAAAAAAGTTCTTTTGAATTGTTTGAAATTTATCATAGAAGTAAATTGTGCCGTTAAAGTCCCACCAATAAAGAGGACTCATTGACAATTGCGCAGTCATGCAACACTGTACCTAAAATGAAATTTGTTTTGTGTGTGTTTTTTTTTTTTTTGTTTTTTTTTTTTACCACAAATAGAGCTTTCTTTTGGTGGTATTTGATTGCCTATGTGTTTATTTTTTGCGCTATAAATAAAAAAACCCGACAATTTTGAGAAAAAAAACAATATTTTTGACTTTTTGCTATTAAACATATCCAGTAAAATCTAATTTCGTCATACATTTAGGCTAAAATGTATTCTGCGACATCTCTTTTTTTAGAAAATATCCCAATACGTGTAAATTAATTGGTTTGCATGAAAGTTTTATAGCGTTTACAAATGGTGGTGTATATATACTAGAATTTTCTTTTTAATTGTTTTACTAGTAATATCGGCGATCAGCAACTTATAGCGGGACTGTAGTGGGCATTCTGAAACTGGGGGGATCTGACTTGGTGTCACTGACATCCCCAGTGACACCAATACAGTGATCAGTACTAATAAAAAGCACTGACACTGTACTAATGGCACTGGGCATGAAGGGGTTAACATCTGGGACGATTAAAGGGTTAACTGTGTGCTGTTTTACTAAGGGGGCTGTGTGTGTGCTTCACTGTAAGCACACTGCTTTGTATGGCTCTGCTATGCAGGAGCTGACAGGGGAGAGATCTGTATTGTTTACATACAGGTCTCTCCCCCATTGGAGATGCTCGGCGATCCCCAGGTGCCGGAGAGTAATTATCTGGCCGGGACCCGGTGATTGACAGCTGAGGCTGCCCCCTACCCAGTATTTCTGCTATAAGGTGGTGCGGAACTGGTTAAGTAAAGCATATGCCGATTTACACTATTGGTAGAGGTCTCTTTACCTTTTTTATGTATAATGTCCTTACCCTGACTGAGATGATGGGAAAATTGGTCCTGAGAGTTGCCAAATCCTGTAGTGGTTGTGTTAATGGAAACAAAGTGCTTTTAGGCTTGTTGCACACAGGAGTAAAAAAAATGCTGAGTTTTTTTTAATGATCTGAAATGAGATGCATTGTTGCCTATGGGACATTGCACACAGCTGAGTAAAAATCAATAATACAGTGTTGAGTACAGAGCAGTAAAATAAAAATAGAACATTTTCCATTTGAGTACAGTAACTTGCTTGCGTGTTTACTCGTTTAGGCCCCTTGCACACAAGCATCATAATTTATTGATGTTTACTCAAACTTGTGACGACTGTGCAAAGGGCCACAATACTGGAAATGAAAAGTATTTTACTCGTCTATACTCATCTAAATGCTTAAACATCTATACTCAACATTACTCAGGTCTTAAAACAGTTTTTGGCCCCTTGCACACAGGCATCACAATATTGAGTAAACATCAGTAAATTATGACGCCGTATGCAAGGGGCCTTTGACTGCTCATATGAGGGTCACAATCTCCCTGGTAAGCCTCAGAGGGGTTGGTGGAGCACACGTGGTGTTTACTTATACTTCTTTGAACCTGAAAAGATTTCATTTTTTTTTTTTTTTTTTTGGCATTTTCAATTGCTCAAAATGAACTCGCTGTTGGAAGTTGCTCACTGATGACTTTGTGGATGTTTGTGTTACTATTTTAATTAATTTAACCTATTTTAGCTCTGCACTTTATATTTAAAGTGGAAGGAAAGGCTTCCTGTTAAGTCACTGCTAAGTAATCAATACCCACAATAGCATAAAATCAGCATAGTTCAAATTGTCTAAACTTGTCTCTTATAATCGGCCGATTTTCGGATCGTTAGTGGGCGATTTGGTCGGCCGTTTTTCGGTATTTTGGCCGTTTTTTTTTTTTGGTAAAGTTGGAAAAAAATCGGCCGATTTTGCCGATCGGCCGATTTTCGCGGCAATTAGTGGGCAAATCGGCCGATTTTTTTACCGATTAAAAAATCTGCGCATGAGCAGTGACCTGCAAGAGGAAGACAAAAAGAAGAAGAGGAAGACGATGAAGAAGAAGAGGATGAGGATGATGAAGAAGAAGAGGATGATGAAGAAGAAGAGGATGATGAAGAAGAAGAGGATGATGAAGAAGAAGAGGATGAGGATGATGAAGAAGAAGAGGATGATGAAGAAGAGGATGATGAAGAAGAAGAGGATGATGAAGAAGAGGAGGAAGAAGAAGAGGATGAGGAGGATGATGAAGAAGAAGAAGAGGATGAGGATGAAGAAGAGGATGATGATGAAGAAGAGGATGAGGATGAAGAAGAGGATGATGATGAAGAAGAAGAGGATGAGGATGAAGAAGAGGATGAAGAAGAAGAAGAGGAGGATGAGGATGATGATGAAGAAGAGGATGATGAAGAAGAAGAGGATGATGAAGAAGAAGAGGATGAGGATGATGAAGAAGAAGAAGAAGAGGATGATGAAGAAGAAGAGGATGATGAAGAAGAAGAGGATGATGAAGAAGAGGATGAGGAAGAAGAGGATGAAGAAGAGGAGGAAGAAGAGGATGAGGATGATGATGAAGAAGAAGAGGATGAGGATGAAGAAGAGGATGATGAAGAAGAAGAGGATGAGGATGATGAAGAAGAAGAGGATGATGAAGAAGAAGAGGATGATGAAGAAGAGGATGATGAAGAAGAGGAGGAAGAAGAAGAGGATGAGGAGGATGATGAAGAAGAAGAGGATGAGGATGAAGAAGAGGATGATGATGAAGAAGAAGAGGATGAGGATGAAGAAGAGGATGATGATGAAGAAGAAGAGGATGAGGATGAAGAAGAGGATGAAGAAGAAGAAGAGGAGGATGAGGATGATGATGAAGAAGAGAGGATGATGAAGAAGAAGAGGATGATGAAGAAGAAGAGGATGAGGATGATGAAGAAGAAGAAGAAGAGGATGATGAAGAGAAGAGGATGATGAAGAAGAGGATGAGGAA